GGCTCAAAAAAATAAAAGTCACTTTTATTCATTGGACCTCATTGTAACTTTTGCCAGTGACACTTTCACAAACTAAAGACAAAAATACTGATCCTCAGACCTAGTCCCACCACATCCTTGCAGGTCAATGGGAAAAACTCAGGACCTGCGATCAGGAGATCTGGACGGGAGCCTGCCCTTGCCTCCTACTAGCTGCGTGCCCCTGGAAAGTCACATGACTCTCTTAAGACTTGATTTACACAGTATGTAAACAGTATCTGAGATATCGAGTTGGCCAACAAGTTCATCTAGTTTTTTCCATACAACGGCTCTAGTAGTGCTCAGTTGTTCTTAACTTGATTTGAAACAATTTTGTTAGGTTGTATTGTGACAGCTGTTGTATCAGTGTGCATTTAAAAAAAAACTTATCAAAATTGGTGAGTTTTTGTGCAGCCATTTTAATACTGAAGATGGAAGAAAATATACAAAATTTTCAGCATATTATGCTATTTTATTTCAATAAAGGTAATGCCGAAAAAGATTTGTGCAGTGTACGGAGAAGGTGCTGTGACTGATGGAACATGTTGAAAGTGGTTTGTGAGGTTTCTTGGTACTATTAACATTTTGGCCAAATAATTCTTTGCTGTGGGGCTGTCTTATGCATTGGAAGATGTTTAGCAGCATCCCTGGCCTCTACCCACTGGAAGCCAATAGCAGGAGATAGTCAGCGTACTCAAAATATCCAAGTCAATAAAGTTATTGATGAAAATGAAAAAAGTGTTTTTTATTTTACAGAAAAAAATGAAACAGACTTTTTGGCCAACCCCATACCTACTGCCAGCCCCATTACATGATATTGCATGTAAGCAGGAGAGCCAGGATTCCAATCTAGGTCCATTTGCACCCAAAGCCCACGTGTTCGCCAACCTGGGTTCCACACCTGAGACCTTCCCTCCCTGCACAGGTCAGTGATTTGCACCTCCAGCAAACCTATAAGACAACTAGCATTTACATTAAAGGGTATTTACAGATAATATTAAAGGCTCCATAGAGTTGAATTGTTTAGCATCCACTTTCTGGATTTGCCACCTAAGGGGGACCTGGCCCCCAATACAGGCATTTGAGTCCCAGTTCTGCCTTTTGCTTGTTTCATGGTCTAGGCTAAGTTATTTATCCTTTCAGAACCTCCATTTCTCTCATTTGTAAAATGACAGGAATAATAGGAAAGGTGCTAGGACAGTGAGGCATGCAGGAAAGAGCACAGATGTGTTCTCCATTATTTCACTATTATGAAAGTCCCTGGCCTTTCTATAGCGTAAGCATGGTTGGAGCCTCACCCAGATGGGCAACGATGCCAGAGGGCTGACCGACTTGCCCGAGGGCACTCAGTGGGCTAGCTGCTGAGCCTGTTAAAGTAGTTCCAATTCTGGGCTCAGTTTTCTAAACCACAGCTGCCTCCTGTTCCAGGATGGGGAGGAGGGGCGAGCCCAAGGGTGAGGGACAAAAAAAGGAAGGGGCCTTTCCTGCCTCCCTTCCCCAGCCTCTCACAGCTGCAGACTTTGCCCGCACCGCCCCCGCCCCAGCAAAATTAGGGACACGTGAGGAGCCTCAATCCGAAAGGGGGCGGGGTCTGGAATGACCCTACGCACCGCTGCCCCCAGCCTGCACGTCTCCACAGAGGGCGCTGGCTTCACGGTGGGGCGGGCAAGCGTGGGTGACTGCGTACGCCCACTCACATCGCAGCCACGACACTCCAGGTGCACCACTGCAGAGCGAAGTGGTACCCAGTCTGTGAATGTAGGGTTATCTTACCGTTCCAGTGCCCAGTCTTTCTGTTCAGAAAGGGGTGACGGGGCATTGCCGGGAACACAACAGAATGTGAACCACATCAGGACATAACGCCAACTTCATGAATTGCAAAACATAAGTCAGAGTTCCGATTGTTCTGCAACAGCGTTTAAAAAAACTCAGTATGCATCAGGGCACATGCCTAGGTTGGGGGCCAGGTCCCCCTTAGGGGGCACGCGAGAGGCAACCACACATTGATGTTTCCTTCTCTTTCTTCCTCTCTTCTCTCTCTAAAAATAAGTAAAATCTTTAAAAAAAAAAATTACTCTCCAGATGGAAACTGAAAACAAAGATACTCTAGGAGCAATACCTCTTGGAGAGGAACCCACTATCAGCTTAGACTGGGTGGCCCATCACCTCTCTCTGCCTTTTTTTTTTTTTTCAGTTGTCTCCCTCCAGTCACGACATCCTCTTACATGCCATCAGGGAGAATCACCCTGTGCCCTGTGATCAGCCCTACAGTCCTGAGCCAGCCCATGAGGATGTGCCCTATTTGCCTAGCCGGCTGTGGAGGCTGAAAGAACCACACTGCCACCGTGTGGGCGGGTGGGCGCACAGCCGCTGCTGAGTGCCCTGCCGCCAGCTGCCGTGCTTGAGCCCACGTTGCCCTCTGATGGCCCAGATCGGCTGGCTTCTCCCTAGGGCTAAGCCAGGGAGGAGGCAGCAGTCTAGAGCAGCCATCCTCAACCTTTGCATCCCATGGCACACATACGCTGCTTACTAAAATTCTGTGGCAAACCAAAAAATACATATTTTGCCGATCTGACAAAAAATTAGGTATAATTTTTTTTTAAATCCTCACTCGATATGTTTATTGATTTAAGAGAGAGGAGAGAGAGAGAGAGATAGTGAGAGAGAGAGAAACATCAATCAGTTGCCTCCAGCACCCTGATCAGGGATCAAACCTGCAACCTAGGTATGTGCCCTGACCGGGAATCAAACCTGCAAACATTGGTGTATGGGATGATGTTCCAACCCACTGAATGACCCGGCCGGGGATACTGGGATCCCTCTGTGGATCACCACTGTCAGAGCCAGTCCTAGGTAGGGACAGAGGCAAAAGCAAAAGGTCAGATAGGGTGGAGAAGGCCATGCCTGGCCATGTCCTAATCTAGCCTCCTGCATGCGATTAACAAGGGACTTTATTAAGTAACAGACTGACATGGCTGCTGGTGGCTAGGGGATGTGGCCCTATCCCAAGCATTTCCTCATCTCCTTCCAGAAGATCCCTGCAAAGCTGTCTGCCCGAATCAAACCAGCAAACTTTCGGTTTGCGAGACGACACCCTACCCACTGAGCCACACCACTCAGGGCTTAATAAGCATCTATGGAACATCCTCCATGAGTGAAGCACTGATCAGGTTGGTGATTGGCATGTGGAGTCAGATAAAAGCTACAAATCCCTACTTTAAGGATATATATGATCTATTGTTATATAAGAGTTATGAACAAAGCAGTAGAGAGAAGGAAGCAATTAATGCTGCTCAAAGAAAAGGTGATGCATGATCAAGGTGTTCTACCAAGTGGAGAGAGAAAAGAGCATTTCAAATAAAGCAAAGGCAAGGAGAGGGGGAAAAAAACCTTGATGTATTCAGAGAACCATATGAAGCTATGAGTGGTTGCACGTGGTACAGGGGAGACAAGAGGTGGCTATGACCCCAGCCTGGGACACACTGGTGTCTGGACCCCTACTGTCCGTGACAGTGACAATAGGTGTTGTGCAGGAGCAATAAAATTTCCTCTGCTCTCAAGGTTCTTTTGGCTGATCTAATAATCAAATAGACATGAGACAGATTATCAAGATAAAATAACCAAATTTCCTACATATGCATGGGAACCTCACATACATGAGAGAGTCAAGAGACCTCCACGTGCAGAAGAGGTTCAGAGACAGAAAGAGAACGAGTATATAAGACATTCTGAGCTACAGATGAGGAAAGGTACCTTGGGGTCTTCAAAGGCTCATTGCAAAATGGTAAGAATAGATGTTTAGTAAATATGTTTGCCCTGTCATGTAAACGAGTCAAAAAATTATCACTGATAATCTCTTATTATGGGCAAGTCCCCTAATTCAAGTTATTCTAAGTAGTTAAAGGGAGGGGCAGTTGTTACTCCTGAGCTTGAAGCTAAAATTGTCCTTAGCTCAAAACAATTCACATACCACAAGAGGCCATTGTGGGATGACTAGCTCTGGAACCCCAAAGTGTGAAAGGAAGGCCCAGGCCCAAGGTTCACAGGTACCAAGCTTCACCCGAGGCCCCAAAAGCAGGCCTTCCTAGCATCACCATTAACTGGTGGCCCAGTTCCTCATCAACTCCAAAGAGGTGCATGACAAGCCCAGTCCTTCATACCACGTATGGGGAACCGAAGCCCCTGGGACAGGCTGACTTGCCCAAAACCAAGTGGTCATGCACTGATGTTACAGAAAAGGGACAAAAAGAGGTCTCTAGGCTCCTAGGCTGGGTCTTTTGCTCTTTGACGGGAACTATACGTTTTTAGGAGTGTAGCTTCCTCGTTTGTAAAATGGAAGGAAAGAACCTTAAAACATGTTTAGGAGTTTTGGGGAGACAATGAATGAGGCAGAGGGATGGGCAGTTCTGGCTGAGTTTAAAGCAGACTGATTTAGCAAACTCCAGAATCATGTCTCCATTCCTTCCCTCCAATGGTGCCTCCCTCGTGCCTCCGCCTCCTTTCACCTCCCCTTCCGGACCCTCCTCCTGGGCCCGCCCACCTCTTCCGGTCCCCCCACTCCCCGCCCCCAGCCACCACTCTTTCCTGTCCCTCCCCAAGGGCTGGCCCTCCCAATTCCGGTCTCCTCCAGTGTGCTACTCTTTTCAGGTCCCTAATTGAGGCTCCGCCCCTTTAGCTATCTATCCCCGCCATCCCCATTGGTGGAAAATCCGGGCCGACCCACCCACTGTAGCGAGAAGTGCTCCAGGTTGCCTGTCCCCGGAAGTGACGGTCAAGACCCCGCCTCTAGGGAAGTGACGGCCGAAGTGCCCTTGACGGGCGGGGCGGGCCGCGCTGTGCGTCCCTCCGCTCACGCTGCAGGGAGGTAGGAGGCCCGTAGGGAAGGCGGGAGGTGGTGTCGCGGTTGAGGCACGCTGCGGGAGCGTTCCTGCGGGGGCCTGCGGCCGAGTGGGCGGAGGTCTCGGGCGGGAGGACCTGCCCTCCGGAGAGCCAGGGTCCCTGGTGGCGCGCCGATTTCCCCAGTTCCCTCCACACACGTGTCCCCTGTTTTTTAGTTACCCCATACACACCTATTTCTGTGCTTTTTAGTTCCTCCTTGAATTATGTGATTCCTCCTCCTGATCTTTTACAACCCCCCTTTTTCCTTAATTTCCCATTAAAATAGTTTTTTTAAAGTAGTTGATAGAGTAAGGACTTTGCAGACGGCCTAGGGTTTCAGTGTTGACTCTCGGGTAATAGTCGTGTTACTTTGGGCTTGCCACAACTTAACTGAGCCTCGGATTCCTTATCGGTAATATGGACAACGCTATAGAAACTTTCTCCAAAGTGTAGCTGGGAGGATTGTAATGTACGTAAAGCATTTGGCCCTCAGCAGGTGCTTGGGAAATAGTGGTTCCTGCCTACCTCTATTCTGTTGTAACGCAACCGATACCCTGATTTCTTTTTGGGTTGTCAACCCAGTTGCCCTGTCCTGTTTTGCAATGCCTTCTGCCCTTTGAGTCTTTCTTCACTCACCTCTACTCCTGAAAGATTCTTTAGTTCTTGCATTTTGCTTCTGGTCCTCAATCTGGAATCCTCCCATATTCCCAAATACCTTTCTTCCTCTGGTGTGTTGACTTCTTGTCTGCTGAAGCTCTTCCTGCCTCTTCCCCTCACAGATGGCTCAGCGACTTCTCCTGAGGAGGCTCCTGGCCTCCGTCATCACCAGGAAGCCCCCTCAAGGTCGGTGGGCACCCCTTACCTCCAAGGCTCTGCAGACCCCACAGTGCAGTCCCGGTGACCGGACAGTAACAGCCAGCCAAGCCCGGTCGTTATATACCACCAGAGTCTGTACAACGACCTTTAACATCCAGGATGGAACTGACTTTCAAGACCGAGTTGTCAACAGTGAGACACCAGTGGTTGTGGATTTTCATGCACAGTGAGTTCTGGGGTCCCAAGGCTGGGGTGTCACTTGTTCAGATATTTTTGAGAGCCAGCTATGTCTTAGTACCACATGTGATGGTTCTTATACACAGACTCACTCTAAATACTGGCAAGACCCCGTCCCTGCTCCCAAAGACTGAGTGTAGTCGGGTAGGAGACCGACCAGTAGACAGTCTTTAAAGCTCTTATTGGCCCTGGGAAACACTTGTGTTCTGTACCCGAATGGCTCAGAGTCATCTTCAACTTGGACCAAAGCCAGAACAATAAAGCTGTAGCATCCTCTGGCTTTTGGTGTATACCAGTCCCCAGCCCTGCAGATGAGTTGATTTTATTTTAACACCCCTCACCCAAACCAGAAAGGGATGGCTACAAGGTTTCAGTGCCACCAGAGCAGCGCCCGAGCGTGCAGAGTGGGCAGGAGTTTCTCTTCAGTGCTGTACGAGTTTGTTTTTGTTTTTGTTTTTTTCAGGATATTTAAATGCCTTGGCCTGATTTTCTTCATTGCCAGGTCTCTGGGGCCTGGCTAGATACCTGGCTGCAAAAACACTGGACGAACCCCTCAGAATGAGACATTCTAGAAAGAACTGGTGTCACCTGTTAGAAGTTGGGAGGCTTTCTGTGCAAATCTTGGCAGATTCTTTTGCTTTCTTATTCTTTCTCTGACTCACTGTGTCACCCTGGGCAGGCCATTTGATGTCCTTGTGCTTCCCTTTCTTCGCTTGTAATAGGAGATAAGGTCTTGCAGACTGGGCTTTTAGGTGTTGTAAGGTCATTAATTGAAGTCTCTGAATGGAAAGCATTTTAAAGGCTGAAAGTAAAGTAGGAGCCATCAGCCAGGGGGTTGTGGAAGGCAGAGCCGTTCTGCCCTCCTGGTATAGTGGGCACTCCAGAGGGGGCTTCCAAAATGGGGGATAAATAGGGTGCCGCTTCGTTCATTCAGTGCCACGCACTGTCCTTAATGCCACACACCTGGGGGTGACCGCCTGTTCTTGGAAGCTCACCACCTAGAGGGAAACACCTGTGTTCAGGGCCGCGCTAGCCGCGGTCGCAGAGCCTGGGGATCGCAGAGTAGCCTGGGGCCAAAAGAGCACTTGGGACAGAGCCTTGGGCTGCAGTCCTGGCTGTGTTTCTTCCCAGCTCTGTGACGTGGCACAAGTTGTTTAACTCGTATGGGCCTCAGCTGTTCGATTTTCTTTTCCTCCACAGTGTGGAGGGCTCTGCATAGGAAAAGCTGAGATGGTCCTGGTGCAGTGACTGGCATGTGGCGGCCCTTGTTTTCCTCACCCTGCAGTTCTGAGTCAGTGAGGCGTTTAAAGTAATTCTGTAGCTCACAAAGCGTGTTTCTCCGTGTTGCCTTAGTTGGTTTTTCATCACAACTCTGAGACGCATAGCCGGTGTTTTTCAAATGAGGAAACTGGGCCCCAGAACAATCAGCTGGTTGGGGAGGAGCCTGTCTTTGAACCCAAACGTTTTAACTTCAAATCCCGTATTCAATATGACAATACATTTCTTTTAGGTGTGTTGAAGAAAGTGAAGTAACCTTTATAAGAGTCCCAGGCCCGGGTTTTAGAAGTTAGGGACCTGTGAGAATCCCCCTCTTGCAGAATCTCCCCGCATTACCATTGGGCATGTCAACATGACAGGTTAATATTCAAACACTGTAAACAGAGGTTATAAGGGCAAAAGGGCCCTCCGAAAGAGGTGGGTCAAGGGCATGTTCTGGGGAGAATACAGATCGGTCGGTGAATGCTTTTCTGACAGGATGCTTCCTTTCTCCCCTTCCCAGGTGGTGTGGTCCCTGCAAGATCCTGGGGCCAAGGTTAGAGAAGGTGGTGGCCAAGCAGCATGGAAAGGTGGTGATGGCCAAGGTGGACATTGACGACCATACAGACCTCGCCATAGAGTATGAGGTATGGGGTGAGCAGGAGGTCGCTGCAGGGCGGCTGGTCTGGGGGGTGCTGGGGTGGATAGCTGGTGCAACAGATGGATGTCTTGGGGACTACCAGAGAGCGAGTAAGCGGAGGTGCCTTGGTTTTTCTAGAGCTCTCGGGGGTTCAGAGTGCTTTGCAGAAGTGACACCGTTGAACCTCTGAGCCACATGTGTCTCTTTATCACCTTTAAGAAGTAGAGTGCGTGACCCGAAACACCAGGTGCTTCTCTCTATTTCAGGACTTTGATACATTTCTTCCTTCCCGAATGCCTTCATGCACACGTCAGCCAGCAGTCGTTTGGGAGCCCTGCGGTGTGCCAGGCGTTCATGACTCTGGTGCAGATAAGATGAGCTGCTTGTCCCCAGGCAGCTCTTAGTCCAGTGGGAAAGAACAAGTAGACAGATCATTTCAACATAGAACAAGAAGTGCTGAGGGAAGAAATACATGAAAAAAGGGACTGATTGTACCTGGTGGAGGAGGGTAGAGGGGACAGGGAACGTGTCCCATGTTAGAGGTAACCTCTGAGCAGAGCCACAAATGACGCACGAAGAAGGGCAGGCGGAGAGCACAGCATAAACAAGTACATGACGTCGCCTGAGGTGTTTGATTTGCTTGTGTGTTCATTCAACAATTATTTACTTAGAGTCCCTTAAATGCCAGGTGCTGTTACTTGCAGCTGAGGATGTGGCAGTGAAGAAAACTGACAAAATCCTGTCTTCACAGAGTCTGCATTCTGGTAGTTTAGGTCAGGGTTGGCAAACTTTTCTCTAAAGGACCAAGTGGTACAAATTTGAGGCTTTTTAGGCATTGGTCACGGTTGCAGATCCTCAGCTGTCATTGTAGCACTGAAGTTGCCATAGACAGGAGAGAAACAAACAAATCTGGAAGAAGGGGTGGGGGTGCCGAGCTTGGGCCTGGGAGGCTTTTGTTTTTAAAAGTGTGGGGACGGTCTGGATGAGAAGCTGTCACCTGACTAAGACCTGGGAGTAGGGAGTGAACCATGCAGCTACTTGGAAGAGCAGTCAGGCAGAGCAGACATCACATGCAAAGGCCCTGGGGTCAGCGTCTTTCAGGTTTGCTCACAGAAAGAACGTCAGGGCTTGTGGAGCAGAGCATGCTGGGGGAAGAGGAGCAGGAAATGTGTGAGAAGTGGGGGCATCCTCTGGGCCATGGAGACCCACTGCAGTTAGAGAATGGGGAGGGGTCCATCGTGACTGAATGGCTGGAGTGGAGGGCAGATCAAGGAGTGAAAGCAGGCGGCTGGGAAAGCCACTGCGGCCATATTGGAGGGGTCTGCACAACCATGCGAAGGATCGCATTATAGAGCTGTGGTGGCACCTGGTGGCCTGTGGGCCAAATCCTGCCGAGTGACAGGTTTGGACTGGCTTTCCGTGTACTTTTTTAAAATGCCAACCCAGATACTGATATTTAAAACTCAGAAGATTTCACACCAAAATCTGGATTTCTCTTTCTCTTGAAATACCTGCATCCGGCCAGGGTGATGGGCAGGTTTAAGATGGGTTAGGCTCCCCCCACCTCAGCCGTGGAGCTTCAGCAGGCACATCCTGAGCACCAGCCATCTGCCAGGAGCTGTGGTAACAGGTGCAGGTGCAAAGAAGAGTAACCCAGCCCCTGCCAGCGGTGGTCACCGTGGTGGTGAGAGTTCCCGAGGCCACTCGCCTGCATTCCAGGGGGCCTGGGATGGAGGGCTGGGCACCAAAGTCCTGTGTTAAGTCTGGAAAGCGTGTGGAGTGGGAAGGGCTCTTAAAAGATCGTGTCCTTCCTTCTCCGTGTCCACTGTCCAAATAGCACGCAGGGGTCATGCAGAAAGCCGCCTGCGCTGCTGGACCCAGTCACCGGATCCCTGCCTCCTTGCCCCGGACAGACGTCATTGCAGGCTTAGGAGGCTCCAGCAGAGATGCTTCCTGACCCCTCCCCCAGCCCTCTGCTTCCTTCCTTCACACCTGCTCTTTTGGAAGAGAGCCTGAGGAAGAAGTCTTAGCTAAGAGATCCGTTATACCTCCGGGGATAGCTTCCTCCAAGGCCTGAAGTGCTTTTCCACATGTTGGGTAACTTGTTGGAGAAACAGCGTAAAATTATGTGTGGGGAATTAGGTACCTCTTCCCGAGCTCTCCTGATGGCGCCCACGCCCAGCACACCCTCAGGATGGGTCAGGATGGGTGGTCTCCTTCCCCACACAAATGCCTGTCCCATCACATCCCACTTTTTACGCTTCGGTCAACTGCCCACCCTGGAATTTCACCGTCTCCCAAAGAGGAAGGAAGGAACAGTTGCACAGGGCCGTGGGATGTCGGTGTCCTTGGCCAACCCCCGCGCAGACTGCACTGCCCGGGCCTGGGAGCAGGAGAGCTCTCTGCTGTCCTTCACCTGCGGTGCCTGCAGAATGGCTGCCCGTCCCTTCCGGGTCATTCAGGCCTTGCCCTGGGGGGGAGATTGTGGACCCGGATGGGGATTGGCCCTTCAGCCTTTACACTTCCCCTGGGGCTTCTGCTTCCGACCTTACCCTTGGAGTTTTACCCTGTTATTTCCTCATCTGACAGCCTGCCCTGTAAAAAACATTAGAAAACAGCTGAGCTGCTACACGGGAGAGGTCACCTGTAATCCCGCCACCCACCCAGACACAGCCACTGCCAACATTTGGGGTGCCTCGTTTGGGTTTTTGTTTTCCGTTTTTCTTTTCATTTTTCTTAAAGTTCTATATAACTTCATAGACAATTGAGTAATAATATTTCATAGCTGAAATGTACTATATACGTCAATCATTACTATACCCCCCCTATTTTGAAAGTCCTCTGAGTCAGTGCTTCTCAAGATTTTATTATTTATTTATTTATTTGCTTTTAGGGGGAGGTAGAAAGAGGGAGAGAAACATGGATGTGCAAGAGAAACTTTGATCGGTTGCCTCTTGTACACCCTCCCTGCTCCGAATCCCCCTCCCCCACCCCACAGTCAGGGACCCAGCCCGCAACCCAGGCACGTGCCGTGAGAGGGTATCAAACCGGTGCTTAATCCACTGAGCCACCCCAGCCAGGGCATGACCTGGGATGTTGAAAAGCAGACTGAGATTCAGCAGGTCCAGAACGTCCGACTTTCTGCATTTCTAACAGGCATCTGGGTGAGGCCACTGGAGAGCCTGACACCGCATATCAAGGAGCAGTAGTTCTAAAGCCCCGGGCTGGCCCTGGGGCCGTGATGCTCTTGCGAAGGCCTTCTCACCTGCTGTCCGGCACAGGCTGCCTGCCAGCCAGGGAAGCGTGTCTCGCAGACTTGGACAAATATGTGATGGCCGTATCCCTGCGTGCGGCGTCATGCAGAACAGCTTCGCCACCCTAAGAATCCCCTGCGTTCCACCTTTTCTTCCTTCCTCCCCACAAGCCCCTGGCAACCACTGGCCTTTTTACTGTCTCCATAGTGCTGTTGCCTTTTCCAGAATGTCATAGAGTTGGATTTGATTTTCTTAATAATAGTTTTTCCAAGAATCCTCTTATGTCTAAAAGCTGTTACAAAGCATTTGGTGTTGCCCAGCTGAAGCATGCATCCTTTGAATGCTGTTCTTTGCATGTGCTTCCTAGCCCTGCGGGGACTCAGGGTCTGTCTCCCGGTCCTTGCTCCGGGGCCAAGGCACGGTGTAATTTGATCACTGCTTTACCAACAGCGACGTCAAACAGGCCCTGTTTCCAGTGCCAGGTCTACCCCTTGTCACTCAGTGTTTGTGACTCAGTCTTCGGATCATGAAAGAGGCAAGAATTGGAGATAGCGTGCACAAGTGCTTTGTGTCGTCCCCGACACTTAAAGGGCAGCCAGGATGTGGGAGCAGGGCGACAGCGACCTGTCTCTGCTCCCTTCTGCAGTCGGCAAGGACGAGGTCCTCGATCTCTTGCAAAATCTCTTGCAAAACCTAGCGCTGTGCCTGTCCATTGGTAGATCCCTCACGGTTCACAAATGGGGGACACGGGGGTGAGATGGGAGGAGGCTTAGCAGGGACGGACAGGGAGCTCTGTGGCAGTGCAGGTGGGTGGGGGGTGGGCTGCAGGTCAGGTCAGCGGGAAGAGACCCCCCACACACACACACAGACACACGCCCCCACCCTAAGTTCGCGGGGTCTTCAGCCAAGCACGGAGGCCTCAGCTGGCGCCTCCGCGGTGCGCAGGGAGAGGCGGCACTCCTCAGCACAGCTCCTCCCCCTCCAGCCCCCTGCCCTCGGTGCTGCCGGAGTTGAGAAGGATGCAGAGTCTGGCTTCGCCACTGCCCCTCTTACGCTCATACCTCGGTTCCAGAGGAGTGAGCCCCAGACCTTTGCGCGTCCATTTAAGGCAGTGCTTATGGGGACCAGCCCCTCCTGGCTGAGCCAGAGTCAGGGTCAGCAGAGCCACGTCCTCCCCCCTCGGAGGTGAGGGAAGTCCAGTCGCTGGCAAGCACCCAGCCGTGTGCGCGCATGCGCTCCAACTTCAGACAGTGCCCTTGATCCGTAATGACGACATTGGTGGCCATGAAAGTACAGTTGTGGCATGACTGCTGTGCGCCCAGCTGCTGCGTATACCTGCGTGTGTGAGCACACGTGTGAATTTACACAAGTGCAGTCGTAACAGGACTCGCTCATCTGGAGTCTTGAGGAAAACTGTCCGCTCCAAGCCACTTCAGGGAGTATACAGTCCTGCTTAGAGGACACGTAAAAACAATTAGATCACTTCTCATACAATGACATAACATAACAGCTTTTGTTTTCATTAAGAAACAGGACAGGATGGGATTGAAGAAGAGTGAAGTTGACTAGTACTTGAGAGTTGGCAGATTTGAGGCCGTTTCCTTCACAAGCCACTAGAGGGGGCAAAAGAACAAAGCACCAGCCCTGTAATCTTAACCATCAAACCTCAGTGGCACTGGTGCATCGAGGAGCAAGCTTGTGCCTGGAGACAGGGCGAACCACGTGCTGGACCCTTGCACGTCATGCAGTTTCCCGTGCCAGAGTCAAGAATGACAAGGACAGGAACCAGTGATGTGTGTGGTCAGCCCATTGCCTGACGGGTCTGCCCACACATGCCACCCACATCAGCCCCAGGATGGTCCTTGAAGGGGCCTGCACACACTCAGGGACAGGGACTGTGTCATCTTCCTTGCTGTTTTTGTCCCCAAAGCCCATGGGGGGAGGGGTGCAAGGCCTGTCACATGCAGTGTCTGGGTGGCCTGCTGTCCTTTGTAACTGACAGTTGAAACATTGTAAATCTTAAGACTGGCTCCTCAAGGTGACTCATGGGCAGGGCAGCACTCAGGATACATGAAGACCTGGTATCTTTGTCTAAATCACTATTGTTGCTTTGTAGTTAACTTGTATGTAAGAAGTGTGTTTATCTTGTTCTGTTTACATATTTTTTCAAGTGGCAACCAGTGCCCGAGCATCATGGGCCTTGTTTACACAGCGTATAGTCTGTGCGTGGCCCCTGAGGGAGCTTGAGAAGATGCTTCATAGGCCAAGAATGTCATCTCCAACCTCCATGATAAACAAACATCAGATTACATATGGCCGAGCCCCCCTCCCGCAGTGTCCAGTACAAGTCAGTGGCTTTCTGGATCCTGCCAGCCATCGCGGCCTTGAGCAAAAGGGGCTCCCACGGGGCTCTGTGTTGGACTCTCCTGACCTGCCCCCGCAGCCACCGTGTGCAGAGTGCCCACTGCGTGTCAGGCACCGCGCCAGGGTCTAGCGCTGTCAACGCCCTGCCAGATGCAGGGCACTGTGCTGGGAGTTTGCACGCCTGGTTTCATTCAGCCCGTGTGTCCTCTGATATCAGTACCGTTAGTGTGTCTGATTTGCGTATGACAACACTGATACTTAGAGTGAAAAAGTGGCTTGCCCTCGGCAGCCCAGGATGGGGTCAGCCAGCTCTCAAGCCCAAGCCCCTAAGCACTCAGCTTTATAGGTGAACCTTTAATCCCCATCCTAACCCACCAAAGCAGGCACTGCCACCCTGCTTGATGGGAGCGGGCAGTGCGGCTCTGGAGGTGGTGTGGCCTGGCCACAGCCCCCAGCTGATCGGTGGCAACGCCAGGATCCCAGCTCCTGGCCTCTCCCCCATGCCAGACTGCCCCTCGGAAAGTTCTCTTCGGCCCTCGCTCGGCCCCACCCCCAGCCCTGCAGCTGCACGGGTTATTTTAATCCCCCATCATTCCAGCCAAACCACTGGGCCAGTGAGTCAGTCATGTGGTCGGGGGAGGAAGGGTGCTTCTGGGAGCCCACAATGGAAAAGTTTCGCCAGGGGTGGACCTCCAGGCCCTGCAGTACCCCTGCACCAGGGAAGGCGCCTCGCCCGTGGCCTCAGGCAGTCGCTGCCCTGCATAAGCCAACAGCCTTCCCCGCAGAGGCCTGGGAATGTCCAGTTGAAGAGTTCGCCTCACCTCTAAAATGCCTTGGCCTCCCTTGTCCCCTCCATCTAGGTGTCGGCTGTGCCCACCGTGCTGGCCATCAAGAATGGGGACGTGGTGGACAAGTTTGTGGGCATCAAGGATGAGGACCAGCTGGAAGCCTTCCTGAAGAAGCTGATCGGCTGACGAGCAGGGAAGAGCCCTGATTGCCCTCGCCCCCTGGGGCCCCATGGTCCCGGGAGGGACCCCGATAGAACTCGCAGTCCTTTTGTGCAGGCCCTTCACGCCTTCTCTCTCTGTCTGGCCCCCGGGGGCCCCTGCTGCAGAGACCAGGCCTCCATGCGTGGGTCCTCCTCCAGTGCTTCCAACCCGGCCAACTGCCAGGGTGGCTGCCCGAGAAATGGTGCTGCTGCTGGTCTGGGGACAGCTGTCCCCCACCCCCTCTCTGTGTCCACTCCCTCTGGGGCTGTTGTAGTTCTCCCAAGACGCTGGAGAGAGTCTGGTCCGGCCTGTAGCGTTAGTAGTGGCTTGGCCCTCGCCTCCCCGGTCCCTTCTCATCCTGACCCCAGGGCCTGGCCCATCTGCCTCCTGCATTTTCCTTTCCTGCTGTTGTTTTGTAAAAAGAAGGAAAAAGGAAACCCAAACAAATGAGAGTAATATATAATTCTCTCATTTTTTGTAGGTCTGTAATAAAGAACTTTATGTGATCTTTCCTGCCTCCTGCTGTGAAGAACGGACTCTGGGCCCCACACTGAATTACTCTAGAGCCACCCCAGGCACAAGACGGGGGCAGGCTTTGGGCTGGGGGAGCCCTGCAGACTCTGGACTCTGGAAGTCTGCAGGTGCCACCCTCCCTCACCATTAGCAGGCCCTTTGGCTCTCTGAGCAGGAGGCTCACTGGGAACAAAGCGGACCAATAAAACCAGGGTTTGCGCTGTCAACAGCTTCCACCGTCTGGGCTCCGGGAGCCCTGTGACCCCTTCCCTGGCCGGCTGCTCTCCCTGTTTGTCTGACTTCCTACCACCTGCTTGCCCTTGATCAGCCCCCTTGTCATTAACACCTGTCAGTGATGGCCGCTGTTCTGGGGACACCTTCACACGCAAGGCAAGAGGGTGTGTGTTGTCTGCATTGCACAGATGACGACCCTGAGGCTCACAGGGCACAGAGCCAGGGCCTCTGCCCAGACGGGGCTGCCTCTGGGGCCCAGGCTGTTACAGCTGCTCCCTTTGATCCTCCCAGGGCTTCGTCTCTCCCGCGTGGCACACAGCCCCTCCTGCACAAAGCCCTGCCCCAGGGGAGCCGGCCGCTGGCTGTGCAGCAGGGACCCCTCCGCGCCGGGGCCAGGCTCCCCAGCCGGGGAGCCTGCCCTCTGTCTCCCTCTTGGGGTTGAGCTGCCCTTTGGCCTGGTTGCCCAGATGAGATGCCAGATTCCCAGGAGCCACACGTGCGTGACAGCAGGGGTATCCCAGCACCCTTCCCTGCGGCCCCTGGGCGCTGTGCCCACTGCCGTGGCTGTTCTCAGTGGCTTGCCAGTCCCTGGGGAACTGCCTGAGTTACCCTGGGGTCTTGGAGGGGCCCACCCAAGGGCTGCCTTGGGAAGGCTGCTGTGACGATCAGGAGTGGGGCCTACGGCCTCTGAGAGACCTCTAGCCTGGGACCTCTCAAAGGCCGTGGAGGTGGGAATAAAGCAGCCATTGGTGTTAGTGGAGAAAGAGCCATGTATCACAGGAATGAGCACAGCCAGTGCTCTGAGCACATCCTGGGTGCCAGGCACTGTTCTGAGCACCTTGCCCCCACAGCGCCCCCTGGGGGAGTGTACCATGATCAGTCCCTTTCACACAGGAGAGCCACTCGGAGAGCAGGAGAAGCTTGTCTGAGACAAGCCCACAGGCACCTGGTCTGGGGTTCAAGGCCAGGTGCTCCTAAGCCTCCCACTGTCACCTTACAAAATGTAGCGTACGTAGGATCTTAATCCCACGAGTAGCTGACAAGGCAGTGTCAGCTTATTTTACAGAAGAGGCACTAAGGCCAAGTTTTCAGACACCCCGGGACGGCAGGGAGGGGCCATATTTTGGAGCCCGGGCACCCTGACTCCCGAGCCTGAGCCCTTTCCACTCTACCCCACTGCCACTCCTTAAAAGGTGCCCTTTGCCAAGCCATTTCTACACACATTACCTCATTTAATTCCTCTCTTGTGAGGCAAATGTTATTTCCATATTACAGGTGAAGAAACCGGTTCAGGGAACTTGACTTGCCCAAGGTCACATCTAAAAAGTGGCAATACCAGATTTGAAGCCAGGTGGGGATCTGATCTGGCCTCTGCCCCTGGGCAGGTGCGGAGACGCCCTGGCAAAGGCCTTGCACGCAGGCAGCCAGAGGCAGGTCTCCAGGCTCCCTCTCCTTAAAAGGTGCGCTGTGGTGCGAGGCGAGCTGGTGGCCGTGGCCTCCCAGGTTGGCAGCCGCTGCCCACGAGGCTGCCCCTGGCATGAGTCACTGGCCGTGAGCAGTAGCCTCCGGGTGATCCCGTTTGACTAATTCTGTGGCGCCAAACTCACCGGACGCTGCCGGCTCTGCATCACTGCCCCACCATTGCCCTGTGGGTGCCACCTCTGGCTCCTGTGGAAGAAGAGGTGGCAATGCAGCAGCAGGGCCTGGCTGCCCTGCTGAGGGGAGGGGCAGGGGTCCAGCCTCAAACCCTCTGCAGCACTGACGCCTGTGAAAGCTGGGGAGCACAGTCGCGTCCACAGGCCCCCTGAGCCTCTACATAGCCTAGGGTGTGGCTGCTGGGTATTCATTCCAGTACGGAGTTTATCCAGTTGGCCTGGGGGCAGGAGGTGGGGGTGGGCGCTTGAGTTTGCTGTGCAGGCTCGCTCACTGGGGTCCTCGCTCTCACCCCGACCGCGCCCCTGCCAGGCAGGCGTTCTCCCCACTTCCCCACTTCGCAGGTGCGCAGACTGAGCACCTGTGATGTCAGCGGGGTGGCTGAGCTGCCACTTCCAATAGGAGCACTCGTCACGGACGAGCGTTAGTGGTTGTTCAGATGAATGCCTGGAGGTCCCTGCCGCGAGCTCCCTCTAAACACGCGGGCCCCAGGGAAAGCTGAGCAGGCCCTCCAAAAGCTGCTGCCCAAAGACAGCAGAGTGAGGGGCAGCCGGCTGCTCCTGAACCAACGGCAGGGCCTGAAGGGGCCTCAGGTATCTTTTAGGCTCTCTCCTAAGGGCACAGAAAGGGGGTGACATGCCCAGGTCACAATGTGTTTGTGAAAGGGACTGGAAGCCAAGTGCCCTGACTTCAGCCAGCCTGAAAGTGAAAGTGAGTCACAGCCTGTTCTGCCCTAGGCACCAGAAGAGGTAAGTGAGAAGGGCAGTCTCTGGGGTCAGGACACGTCAGGTCAAGGGGATGTTGACCGAGCTGCTGCCAGTGCTGTTCCCAGCAGTACCTGCCCTTCGCAGGGGGCCTGGGTCCGGCTCAGTCCCCATTTCAGTCCTAGGGGGTTGGCGGGGAGGCTTCTCCGGAAAGCGAATGCAGTTCTGGCCAGGCCTCCGGAAATCCCTAATGTGTGGGCCCTGGGCTGGGAGCGTCCAGAGAACAATGTTGGGGCCATGTCAGTGGCTGGTGAGGATGCCATGGGACACGCAAGGCTTCCAGGCAGTTGCCGTACTTTCTCTCTGCTGCACGGAGGCCTGACCCCGGGCCCCCAGCCCCAGGGCTGGCTCCCACGGCTCCATCGGAAACCTGGGCCGCCGGTTGTTCTGAAGAGCCTCGCTTCTCCAGCCACCTGCTGACAGCCTTTTGGAAGCTGGGGGTCACCACTGGGAACTCCACGGTGGAGTGCAGGAAGAACCAGACCTGGGTTCAAGGCCTGACTTTGCCACCTGTTGTGTGGCCTTGGGCAAGTTGCCTCGCCATTCAGAGGCTCAGTTGTCACATCAGTAAAATGGGGACCATGATGGCTAGCGCTGGTGAGTGCGTGTTCCATACGTCATCTCACTGAAACTCCACAACAGCCCGACAGGGCAGGGAATGCTATTATTTCCATTTTACAGACGAGGAAATTGAGGCCCAGGGTGCTTCAGTGGGTATCAACAGGCATCGGAGCTCAGATCGGAACTCAGCTGTGTTTGATTCTTCAGTCTTTGTGTTTTTACCTATGAGCTACACTGCTTTCCCTTTGGGGCAAGGTTTTTCACCAGCTGGAACTTCAATTGCACCATCTGCAACCTGGGGTTAATGCTAATCACCACCCAACGAGGTCATGGTGCTGATGAGATGGTGAAGTGTGTAGTAGCCTCCTGGTACCGAGTAGCAGCTCAGGAAGAAGTGCCCATCGCCTTGCTTTTCCTCTGCCCCCAGCTTCCCCCTCCTCTAAGCTACATCTTAAACAGGAAACGCCAGGCTTCCCAAGCTAAGGACCAAGCACCCACCATGGGAGGGGCTCCGTCCTTACACCACGCTGAGGGTTTACATCAGGCTCTGAGTCCTGGCCCTGCCACCGCCCCTTCCCGCTCTACAGCTGGCTGAGGGCGCCTGTGACTCAGGCGGCCCCGGGCGTCAGAGGTGGTGCCTCCTGGAATTCACCCTGAGCCTGGTCCGATCCACTACTCTCCGTGCCTCCCTCTCTGAGCCGGCCCGCCACACACAGCTGCTGATGGGAGCACCTGTTACACAGGTGCTAATTATTAATCGGGGGTGAGCGGGTTCCCCACCGTCAGCCAGCTTACTGGGTAACCATAGGCACACAGCGGCCTCTCTCGGGTCTGCCGCCTGCCTCATCCTCCCAGCAGGGAGGCAGCTGGGCATCCATTCCCCGGCGCCCCACACTGCCAATGCTCCACCCACATCTAACCCTCACAGCACCCATGGAGGCGGCGATTGTTCCCATTTCACACACGAGGAAACTGAGGCCCGGACACATCCTGGGAAACAGGCCCGGGGTGGCCCCACCCACCAATCCCTCATCCTCTCCCTTTGCCACATTGTTACCCCCAGGGCGGTCAAAGACTCCCTCTTCTCGTGCCAAGAGTGGGGACTCTGAGCCTCTCTCTTTCGTCTGCCTCCCTCACCCTGGTCCAGCAGGAGGCAGGGGACCCCCTTTGCTCAGGATCTACTCCGAAGGCTGGAATACTCTCTCCAGTCCCCGCGTGGCAAACTCACCGCCCGACTTCAGGGGGCTGGCATGTGAGTGTCCCCCGGAGGCCATCTGCTGCTAGGAATTGGGGCTTCAAAGTGGAGGAGGGCGCAGGCCCCACGCCAAGCAGCTCACAGCAAACTCATCAGTACAACCTAAAGTGTAAATGTCACAGCAGAAACAAATGCCATTTACCATCGGGAAGATAAAGCACAGAATGGTTGGAAGTCCTCGAGAGGAGCAAATCTGTAAGGGCTGTCAGCTGAACCATGAAGAGAAGGTGACATTCCAGAAGGGTTTTGACATGGGACAAGGTGGGTAGGGGAAGCAACAAAGAGGGTAAAAGGAGTTAAATGCAAGGTGACAAAAGGAGACTAGACTTCAGGTGGGGAGCACGCAATGGAGTATACAGATGTATTACTAAGCTGTACACCTCAAATGTATATTATGCTATTGATGTTATCAAATATGTATATAATATTATTAATATAACTCACTATGTTACTCCAATGAATTTCACAAAGAATAAGTAAATGTGAAAAAGAAATTAAAGGGGAAAAAAAGGACTTTGTTTTGTATCACTGAATAGAAGCTAGCCCGAGAGACAAACAGCGGGAACGACATTCCAGGCAGAGGGAATAGCATGTGCAAAGGCCCACAGGCACAGGATCTGTCCGTGGAGGGAGACTGAGAGGCAGGGGGCCACGGGGGTGCCCCACCGAGGGGGAGACCGACTTTGAATGGGGCCCTGGAGTCATAGACCTGGTTTTTGTCCTGCCCTGCCCCTCCCTAGCCACACATCAAGTTTCCTCATCTCCGAACCGGGA